TTTATGTCTGGCAAAGAAGTGAATACAAATTCATCTTTGGTCTGTAGTAATTATATTATTCAGCAGAGAAAACTGACATAAACAAATCAAGTGGTACTAGCCCCACAGGAAGGATTATGATTTTACTTTCCTTATTTTTGAAATACAAACAAGTACATTGCTCACATTTTAAAATCTTCAGTATAACATCTGATTAAAAGTCATAACAGAGAGTACTAAGCTAGAAATTGGGCATAATTTGGAAATGAATGCTAATTCCCAAGCTGAATTCACAGAAAAACATTTGACTTCTTGATTAACAAGAGCATTGTCTAATTGTAACAATTCTAAAATAATGTTTATTATACAATTCAGAGTTTAACAGAACTATGGAAAAAATTCAAAAACTAAGGAAAGTCAGCTTTATATTCTACCTATTTATAAAATTCCCAAAAAAAAATCAAGTCTGTGGATTAAAAATTTTATGAAAAATATAACACAAAACCCCATTGATGTCTTGCTTGGGATTTATGCCTGAAACAGGACTAATGGTGCCAAAAAATAACTAAGCTAGACATGGTTGGGAAGTAAAGTCAAATTGTACAAAAAATTAAAGCCAGTTCATTCTGTATTTGCATAGGGAGATCACAAGTACTACCACTCTTTTATTTCACTTTACAGGCACTGGGAATATTTTTTTTTTTTGCTCCGACGAATTTAAATACTTTTTTAAACCTTCTAAGCACTAAGAAAATAATTTTGATTATCCCAAACCCTCATCTTTTCTGAAGTACTTAAATCTTTCTCAAGCAGCTTTTATCTTTAGACTGTTCTCTCCCATCTGATTGGTCTATTAGTGCCCTCACCTGTGTCAGACTGTGTATAACCTGAGTGCAGTGGGACAGCCCTGACCTGGGTTTTCATTGCAGGTCCGAGGAGCAGTACAAGGCTGGAACTGGGCGTTTCCATTAAGGGATGTCACACCTCCTTATTATCCAGGAGACCTTGGACAAGTTATTTAATCTTTTTGAACCAGAGTTTCATCGACTGTAGAATGGGGACTATAACATCATCAACCTCCTGGGGTTGTGGGAAGATGGAGTGAAGTAATTCACTAGAGCTTAGAAAGCCTCCTACACACCACCACATAGATTTACAGGCTGCTGTGGGTACTTAAGAAATCAACTAGCATGACCAGAGGCAAAATGCCTTTCCCAAACTGAAATAAAGAAGTCACATATTTTATAGCTGCAGTTTTATGCAGATGGTTTTTCCTTATTTGGGGAACCTGCTGTATTTTGTGAATTCTGTATTTTGTAACTCAGCATGTGTCTTACAATCCTGTCTTCTAAATAACTGAAAGAAGCTTTGTTCTGTTGTTTAAATTCAATCAAATCCATCATGACTTTGCATGTTCTTTTGAAAAAATGAATCTTATAAAGACAATTGCAGTTCTCAGAAGCCTATCTCCCTTCTTCTGCTATTGGTGTTTTATCTCTGTCCAAAATGGCCAGTCTCAGAATGCCACTGTTAATATTTTCTACATGCTTGAGACAAAGAGATACTTGAAACCATTTCAAATTATTTGGTGCCCTAAAACCCTCTGCTACAAAAAAAAAATAGGATTTCTAAAAGCTGAGATCTTTATCATTTTTTTCCAGTACCAGGGATCAAACACAAATCTTCATACATGCGAAGTATGTGTTCCACATCCCCAGTCTATTTTTAAATGAAGTATGTACATTATTGTATAGACATAATGCTATTGCATACTTAATAGACCACTGACCAATATAACTGTAGCTTTAACATTCACCGAGAAACCAAACACTTGCTGGAACCTACCTTATGATATTAGCTTTTTGTGACAGTCTAGAACTGAACCTGCAATATCTCCCAAGAATTCCTATAGTTGGTTCACAGTATCTCGTAAAGGCTTAGTGAAATTGAGATGTGTCTTTTTATTTCCTAAACAGTTTTGAGTTTTGCATAATTATGGTCCATCAGTCATTTCTATTTTAGGCAGAGTTCATGCCTTTATACTTCTGCTGCATGCTGTTTTTACAATTGAAAGAGAAACACACAAGGCCCTACTCACAAGGAATTTACAGTTTAGTAGAAATAACCTACATTAATTAATTACACATTAAAAATGCACAACTCCTCAGGAAAGCTACATGATGTCCTGTCAATAAAATATAACATGAAAGGAGACAGAAGATAGACAACAGATATGGCAGACAAATGTTCAATTCCCATATGGTCCTCCAAGTCCACCAGTAGAGATTCCTAATTGCAGAGCCAAGAGTAAGCCTTGAGCACCACTAGATGCTTCCCTACCCATATATATATATATATGTATATATATATACACACATATATATACATATATACACATATACATATATATATACACATACATACATACACACATACAGGGATGTAAGGCAGGGAGCCAGTCAGCAATAGAAATACTTCTGAATTGGTCTTTGATTCCAAGAGGATAGCACTAGGTTTAACACAGTTCATAGTATCCCCATGTTGACCTTTCACTTGTTTGCCAAGATGAACAGACATTTCAGTGAAAAAGATCTTTCTTAAGGCCTATGACATTATAATTATCAGTGTTTAAAGGGCAAGGAAGAAAAATTAAACCTGAGTTCTTATTTAAGTGGCAATTCAGTGATGGGAGCAATGACCGGTGATGATGTGGATAAAAAGTTGAAATTGAGATTTGGTATTATTAAGTTCCTTAAGGGTGAAAATGTTTCATTTATTTTTTTCTCCTGAATTTCTCTTAGAACACAAATCTAAGTACAAGGCAAAAATGTTCAGAGCATATTAACTTGTGAAGATTGAGAAAATGAAATTGTTACAGAAGGAAATTCATAGAACCCAAATGCCCACAGAGTTAAACGACAATGGCATTGCCATGCTAACTTCTGAGATTAGTAAGCCAGCAAGTAAAAAACACTGATGATGGAGAATTTGGAGAGTATGAACATTTGTGAAGGCTTAAGAGGGACATCGCAGATATTAACACAAGTTCTTTTCCAAAAGTATCAAGAAACACTCCAAAACTAGTATGGGAAGAAGACCGTGTTCAAACAAGAGTTGAGTTACCAAAAGAACCAAGAGTGTAAATTCACTTGAGAGATGAACCGGTATGCATTCATTTGTTATTTCATAAGCACATTTCCATGCAAGTAGGCCTTTCCAAGAATGGATCATTATTCTTTATATAATAATTCTTACAATATTATTTTTACATAATAACTACTTCGTCACTAACAAAAGGATCAGTCTATGGTGCCCGCACAGAGAACCTATCAATTGACATCTTTGTCCACAGGTTTGCTACTCATCAAAGTAAATTCCAGAATAGCACCAATTAGTCATAGTTAGATTTTTATCTAGTTAGGCTTTACTAAAGGAAACAAAATAGAAAACTTGGAAAATTCTTCAACAATGAGAGTTGACAGTAGCAGTCACATATGTGGACTTTTAATGATGTGAAATCAATTAACACATGTGTTTCATATGTGTGTTAACACAAATAGCTATAATAGAAGGAACTTTGTGGGATAAGAGAGGTCTGGCTCTAAATTGGGCAATACCATCTGACAACCATTTATCCATGGAAAATCTATGAGCTACAGTTTTCTAATGAGGGCTTCAGGAAAAAAATATTAAGTCTTCTTTATATTTAGATAATTTAAGATAATAAATAATAAATGACAGTTCTCAGTGGAAGTAAGTTGCTTTGATAGTGGTTAGGTTCAAATGAATTATCCTTTGTTGAATCCTACTTCCTTTCCCTTAGTTGTCATAGCTGCAATAACTGTTGAAAGAACAATTTCCATCAGTCCACTAGTTGTGGAGTCAGGGGTCCCAAACAACAGTCAATGGCGGTGGGGGGGGACTGGAATGATAGTACAGTGGGGAGGGCATTTGCCTTGCATGCAGCTGACCTGGGTTCAATCCCCAACATCACATATGGTCCCCTGAACACTACCAGGAGAAATTCCTGAGTGCAGAGCCAGAAGCCATCCCTGAGCATTGCTGGGTATGACCCAAAAAAGCAAAAGTAAATAAATAAATATATAAATAAATAAATCAGTTACTGGGATGATGACAATAGGTATGTGAGGTGGTCTTGGGAATTCAACTAGTGGTCTCACCATGCTCAAGATTGCAAGAGAGGTACTCTTGCTCCTAAGCTATCAGTGGACACTTGATCCAAATTCTTTTATTTTGTAAATATAAAAATACTTTTTATTTTCTAGCGTTAGAAAAAAAATAACACACCATCACCCCTCCTGAGTTCCAGTCACCCATGCCACAGGTTCCAAATCCTTGTAAATTAAATGATAAGTAACATCACCAAATCACCGTTTTTTTTTTTTCAGGTTTAATACTAGCCTAACTCTACCTGTTCTGATCACTTGTCACAAGTTATTATAGAAATCCAGTGAAATGCTCCATGGAAAATCACTATAATCAGCAATACTCTTACTAATAACAAGTATCATCCCTTTGTCTCAATCTGGCTTAGAGCCATTTTATTTACTGGTTTAGCACAAATGCCCAATGAAGGAGACACAGGCTCTTTTTGACTTGTTTGCAGTCCCCACACCTGAAACAGAATCGCATTTCTCCCCCCAAGCCCTCACTTCCAATTTTAATCTCGCCCAATCTATTTCTGTCCCTTTGTTTTCTTTCTCCACTTCTGTTATATTTACAAGATCCATCCAAATCACCTTCTCTCCTCTTTTTTCTAGACCTGACTGCCAAAGCGCATTGATATTCACTGATCCTTGTCCTGTTGACTCACTGCAATCTTGGTCACCTTAAGCTCAGTGCCTTTTTTCACCTGGAGAATGCAGTGACCCCATCTCCAGGGACTGTTGCATGAGCTAAATGAAAATTTAATATCTGGCAAAGACGGCCTTGTTGAAGCAGCAGGTTAAGTGCTCTCCCAGGCCTGCAGCTCCCTCTGTGTCTCCCTGGCCTGGACTGACCTGTGAATGATACGCTGACTCTGCAGATAGTCCAAGGCCAAGGCCAGCTCACAGATGAAGAGCTTCACAGTGTCTTCCTGGAAGCGAACATTCTGCTGCAGGTGATAACGCAGGTCCCCGCCCAGCAGGAGGTCCACCACCATGAACATGTCCTCCTCGTCCTGGAAGGAGTACCTGCAAGAGAATTGGGAATGACATCACGTTAACCACAGCCACACCCTAGAGATTCTGAGAGGCAGGCACATCACAGGTTAGAACAGAATGTTCCTGAGCTAAGCGCTCAAGGTTAGGAAATAGATGGCCCATCCTGAGTGCTAGGATCCCAGGAAGTTTTCACTGAAAAAAAAATGGGGATAATAAGAATATCTGATCCACATCTGATCACAATAAAGACAAACTTGGATAAGGCTAGTATTTCAAGGCAAGCTTGGCACACAGAATGTCGACATTTATTATTTACTGACAAAGCTGCAAAGCCAAGAAAGAAAGAAAATTCCATGTAGGTACTTTTCATCCCCGATCACATCTTTGCCACACAGTTGCAGGAAGTCCTTAAAATAGGAGTTATAAGGACTTTTTGAGCCATTCTCCTGTCATTTTGCTACACTAAAAACTTCATTACCTGGACCAAAGCAATAGCACAGCAGGTAGGGCATTTGCCTTGCACGTGGCCGATCCAGGTTCAATCCCCAGCATCCCATCCCAAGCACCACCAGAAGTAATTCCTGAGTGCAGAGCCAGGAGTAATCCCTGAGCATTGCTGGGTGTGACCCCAAAAAAGCAAAATAAAAACAAAAATAATAATCAGTCAAAACAAATCCGTTTTGTACCAATGTTAAGAAAAAGATCTAGGATCAGAAAGATAGTACAGTGGTTAAGGTGCTTGCTAGCCTTGCATGCACCTGAACCTAAGCTGGGTCAATCCTCAGACCCCTTTGAGCTCTGCCAGGAGTGATCCCTGAGCACATAGTCAGAAGTAAGCACTGAGAACTCCTGGGTGTGGTCCCAAACAAAAAAAGGAAAAAGGAGAGAAAGATCTAAAGAGAGCAGTAAAGAAGTGTATAGTGCAAGGAAGTAATTGACTTAGATTTGGGAAGTAAGGGAAAGAACAAAATGAGAATATAAGAGTTGAGTTCAACCCCAGAGTTAAATGCCAATGGATGGCAACAATAACAACTACAGAATAAAGCTAAAATCACCAATGTTTCTTTTTCTTTCTTTCTTTTTGGACTCCAGCTAAGCAGTGCTCAGGGGCCCCAGAGAACGCTCCTGGAGATATTCAATCAAGCTATATGGCTCAGGGCTAGGACCCGAGTGTCCGAGACTGAACCAGAGTGGTGGTTCCTATGCTTTGCCCCTAGGTCCTGTGATATTTCCTCAGTCCCTCAAATGACAAGTCACTTACCTGAGGCAACTCCAAAGCATTCTAGAATTGTGACCCCTTCATCTCTTTTTGCTTCTATTTTATAAATGAGGAGGTCACTTAACCAGAAACTTCTTCTGGATAAATAGCACAGGTCAAATATGACTTAAATAGGAGAGCAGGGTGCTCGCTTAGATAAGGTACTTCTTGTCTAAAAGAAACACTCCTTCCCCACACACACTGCAGAACACTGTGGGGTGTAGCCTGGAGACCCCTGAGCACTAACGGCCATGTGGCTCTTTGTCCCCAGCACCCAGGATACACCAAGCAGCAGGGTAGCCTTGGGTTCTAACACTGAAACACCAGCCACGTTGGTCAAGAATCACTCGGAGTCAAGGTGAGCACAGGGTGTTAATTTTGATCCCTCTTTCCCTCAAAACAAGAGGAAAAACATGGCATATGCTTAGCATAGGACTAAGCATGAAATATAAGTCGACATGTGTGGGGTAAAGAGTGTGGTTTAGTTTAGCTGGACACTCCCTGCCTCTACCTTCAAAACCAACCCCAAAGATAATGGCAAGTTTGAGAAGGCAAAGGGAAAAAGATAGGTGCTGGCTCATGAGGTCTATTTTCTTTTCTCTCTTTCTCTTTCTCTTTCTCTCTTTCTCTTTCTCTCTTTCTCCCTCCCTTCTGCCCTCCCTCCCTCCCTCCCTCTCTCTCTCTCTCTCTCTCTCTTTCTTTCTTTCTTTCTTTCTTTCTTTCTTTCTTTCTTTCTTTCTTTCTTTCTTTTTCTCTTTGGGTCACACCTAGAAATGCTTAGAGGTTACTGCTGGCTCTGCACTCAGGAATCATTCCTGGCAGTGCTCTGGGAACCCTATGGGACATTGGGGATCTAACCCCAGTCAGCCACATGCAAGGCAAATGCCCTGCCCACTGCACTATCACTCTGGCCCCTAGGCTCATGAGTTTTCAAGTGTGAGGGAAACCGTGGGATGCTAGATGCAGAATGTACGAGCAGAAGTGTAGCCTATGTGAGCTTTATACTTGAAGGAATGTGGAGTGGAGAGATAGGAAGAGGAAATGAGACATAGGAGAGCAGTTCTGGCCTCCTCTGCTTACAAAGAACCTGTAAAAATGCATTCCTAGTGATCCAATTTATTTTCCTTTCTCAAAGTACAGCTCTTTGTATCCACACTGTTTTGACATGTCTCTTTTTACATAATGTCACTGAGATCACCTTTTAAATTTTTATCTGAATCAAATAAATCAGTGTAGGCACGCAAAGCCCAGGGAGGCAAACCAAATCCGAGTGACAAATTCTCTGCTCAGGAAATAAGCCCGGAATACCAACAACGGAAGAACTACACTTGGTACATGTGTTTTCTTTATAATGATCCTGTGTAAAAGCAGAGGCAGGAAACTCAACAAACAAAAGAGGGAAGAGAAATCCAATGAAGCATTAATCTGAGAGGGGGGAAGTCTAATGAAGACTAATGATCCCTGATGCTTGCTTGTTCAATAACTACAATTTTGTTTACTGCTGAAGTCTGATTTGCACAGAAGAGATCAGAAATGAAGCCCAGGCGGAAAGTAGACAAACCAGGAAGTGCTTTGTCACAGTCTCACAAAGGCCTCCTGGGTGATGTCTTTTAGGTACTCACATCATCACTGCTATGCAGTGGCTGGCTGAACTCAATTCTGCCCTGGTTCTAAAGGAAGCTGGGCCACTGGGCCACAATCAGTCCCATGGAACCAAATTACATTCAGTAATGTACAAATAATATGATGTGGGGTCTGGACCTGGTGGCGTGCCACAGGCTAATAAAACAGAAAGACTGACAGCTCATGGCATGTGAAGGAGTCATTTGGGGACAGCAGAACCAGTGGGGTGCAAGTCGTGAAGAACCTGAAAGGGAAGAAGAGAGAACTAACCAAACTAACGGAACTGACCTAATCAAGTGCCAAGGAAAACAAATTCTGCAGATGGGACAAGCATAGAGCAGCGTGGTCCAACCCCAGCTTGGAGCAGGGGACACAGTGGGGACAGGGGTTTTATGGACAAACATTTTACTGGAACATTGATAGGCTATTTTTATCCCCAAAACAAAGTTGCCAGGCATGGCGAGTTAACAAAAATGTTCTACCGTGGAGGAGATTATTAATGAAGAAGAGGTCTTGGCAAGAGACAGCACGCTTCTCTAGCCCAGTATGAATATAGATTTAATCACAGAGCCAGGCTTAGCTGTAAAAAAAATTATCTTTATGCTTCAGCACATCAGATCTGAAGCCCTTGACTACAGATTCTAAACTCTGAGAGGGAGAGTAGATAATTTTCTTTCCAGAACTCACCAGTCAAATCCGTGGGTATCACACAGTTTTCTGATAAACTGGACTATACCAGTTTCTATCAGAATCTAATGTAAGAAAAATAAGAGGAAGAGTTTCCTTGTACTTTGATTATCAAACAGATTCACTGCTGCATTTATTAGCCTATTTTCTTATGATTTTTTTAAGAAGAAGAAAGCTTTTTTAATCAGCCATGCAGAAGTCTATACATAAGTATTCATGAAATATTTTACATAACTTGAATCTAAGCATTACTGTTTATAGAATTTATGTTTATTTGGGGAATAAGTAAATCAATGGGTACACCATATACATTCATTCTATTCATTGGTGATTAGTTAACCAAGAAAAATTTAAAAAGAAAAATGATAGAATCACCATGAATTACAAAGTTACTCATAATTGGATTTCAGGCATACAACGTTCAAACACCAATCCTATTATATGGTTTTATTTTAATTCATCTGTCATGATTATTTATTTCTTAATGGACTGCTCCAAAATAGTAAGTCTGGTCTCAGTGCCTAGGAGATGCATGACAAACTGTGAAAGAGAAGAAAAGATTTGAGAGACCACACCCCATTGTGATCTACTTCAAGATGTTTTCAGGAACTGTGAGGGATTTTCCCTTCTTCTAGTGCTCTTTCTGAAGCTAGTCAAACAATCAAGTTTACATTTATATGGATAATCCACATATTTTTATCACGGGCTAAGAAATGGGATGAATAGGGAGGGCCAAGGAGCAAGGAAGGAGTTGCACATGAAGAGCACAAGCCTGATGAACAGCAGATGCTCTGTCACTAGAGATTTGGCCCTGCCTTTCCAACAGCTGTCTCTTAACTGATAGAAAAGATAAATCTGTAAAAATAATACCTTGGGGGACTTGGAGAGATTATATAGTGGGCATTTGCCTAGCGTGTGGATAAACTGGGTTTGATTCCTGGCACTCTATATGGGTCCCCGAGCCCACAAGGGCATTCAGCCTCCTGAGTGCAGAGTCAGGACTATCCCTGAGTACTGCCAGGTGTGGCCACTCCCAATGTCAGTTCTTCTAGGTGGTGAAGAGACTGGGTGAGGATATGGATCTGGGGGAAGGTCTGTTCTGAGTCTCTCAGCGAGACCTGCCTGGCCTTCATATTTGACCTTCACCTTTGCAGTCGGTGGGTCAGCTCTCAGTGTGTCTGCTTGGAGCTCTCCAGTTCATCTACATATAAATGACAGACATTGAAAATGTAAGTCATGCTTATCAAGACTCATAACTTCCTTACCATGATCTAGATATCTTTGGACCCTTTAAGTTTCAGACATCATCGTGATGCTTTTTTCCTTTCACATATCAGCCTGCAGTTCTGCCCATTCAGCCTTACAAGTTGGTTCTCTGGTGTGACCTGCATCTGCCCTGATGATATTGCCCAGTACTTGCTTATTCTTTCTTCCTCAACTCCTCTTGATCCAGTGGTGCCTT